AAAAGGATTAGAGGAGAAAGGGAAGATAATTCGATTCTTCTTCTTCTTCCTTCTCTTTTCGCCATTTTCTTCTCTTGTGTTGCTGCTCTTACTTCTCTTCTTCCTTTTTCTTCTAATCTTCAAATTTACACCTAATATTTGAGGACTGATTTACATCTCCGGGAAACAAACCATCTGTCTTCTGCCCTTCCCAAAGTATTCAGGAAGAGTTATGTAGAAACCTTTGTTATTCCTCTTGCATTATAACACATATCTCTTGCCTTCTTCAGTTCCATACTCCTTCTAGTGTAGTTGTTTCAGCGCTACTATACCATACATAGACATCTACTAGCTTCTCAAAAGGATGAAATTGGACATTTCTTATCACTATTTCTAGTACTAAAGAAAATACATTGTAGAATAAATAGTATATTTATCCTATAGGGCCATTGCTTGGTTCAACAGTAAAATTTTGGGCTGGCAAGTATGAGAACAGGGATTGGAGTGTGAGCATGACCACTTTGTGTAAAAAATGCCAGAGGTTAGGTCCATATCCAGTCAACCCCTCCCAAGACCCTGAACAGCTAGCACCAAGATTGGGTAATGATCCTTATTTTGGTATATTTGTCCTATAACACATGTTTAGTGTTTCCACCCTATGCAGTGGGATTGAGTCCTCAGAACAAATCAAAGTTAATCCATTATTGACTGGATTACCATTGGGATGCACAAGGCGCATGTCCAAGTATAATGGAAGACCAGCAATTGCATCAGCAAATAGTCACTTGATGCAAGTTGAGGGTTCTACAAGAGCCAGGGAAAATCTGAAAAGGAGATGGGTTGAGGCACTGAATTGACTTCAGCAGATGCAGTTTGACAGGATATAGCCTTTGATGGAGTGGACTAGTGAAAAATGATTCAAATAACCAACTACATAAATCTGGGAGAAGGATTTGTTGGGTTGAGTAGAGTGATATGCAGAATAATGTGGTTCAAAATTACTAACATATGCTCACTTGTCTATTCATTAAAAAAAACAAAAAAAGCATATATTCCCTTGTCTTATGTAAAAGCAGTCCAGCAGTCAGTCAGATAAATGATAAGCATTCAATTCAAGAACCTAGCAAACAATGTGAGAGTTAGACACAGTCAACATATCTTACCAATAGTAGTACACAGATACAAATGAAATAAAAAACATGATTCATCTTTTACCAAGATCATTGCAGTTCTCCAAGTCAAGTTTGCTTTCTGTTACAGATGAATCAACTACAGATGCATTTTCCTTGCCAGTATCAGAAGACACATTCTTAAATATGCCCTACACAAAAAAAAAAAGAGTAGCATAGACAATATAAGGACAAATTAAACATTCAACCTGATACTTTAGCAGAACACTAAGAAGTAGGCGTGCAATTTGGGTGGGTTAGGTTGAAGGTCAACTCAGGCTCAACCCAAGCTTAACCCAATACAGCTCAGGCTGGGCCAGGCTTAGTCAGGCTTGGGCAGGTTGGTCAGGTTTCAAAGAATTATTGAATATATTTTTATAATAGCCATCTTATTGGGCTTTATGGCCCAATTTAAGAGTAGAATTGATTGAGAATATGTACAAATTTCATTTACAAATGTACATATACATATTGTATATGTATACACATATACGTATAATTAGAAAAAGAAAAGGTATTTTATATAAATGTAATGCATGTATATATATATGAATTTGTTTACGTGGGCTTGGGTTGGGCTCAAGCTACCCAAGCCTAACCCAAGTTTAGGTGGGCCAGGTCAGGCTTGAGTTGGGCCTGCCCAAGTTGCAGCACTACTAGGAAAAAAATGAAAAGGGCAAAAGATACCATGCTAAGCATACAAAGAAATGGAAGTGAAATTGAATTATTACATAACCTCCATCACTGAATTTAAATACAAAAGAGAGAAGTTGTTAAGAACAATAAGAAAATAGCATATATAGCAATGTAATAATCAGAAGATCCCCAACTATAAGTAAAGGAAACAACAGTATATGTGTAACTGCTAAATTAAACATAAGTAGCATGTACCATTGTACCAACTCCTAAAATGACAAGCACTACAAAATATAGTTTCATGCAATGATGCAAGAGAAGCATCCAGCAGGAACCCTTTTCTTTTTCTTTTTCTTTTCTTTTTTTGTGGTGAAAGAATTGTTAGAACAGAAAAAAGAAAGTTCACAAGCTATACAAAAAATCCAAGATCTAAGAAAAAGAAACAGATACACAAACAATGAAAGAAAAACAAAATATAAATGATACACAAGGCTCCCACAAAAAAACAAGAGCATCTTCATCCCCCTGCTTCTCCATGCAAGATAAACACAAAAGACCCAAGGAAACTAAGCAGCTTGCAACCCTTGACTCAGCCTCACCCTCATCCCCCTAAACTTGGAATTCACAGTTTAGTGGTTCAATCACCAATTTGACAGTGTGAATAGGGCTTACAATGAAACCTGCCGTATCACATCAAGTTCAAGGTCATGTTATGTTTGCAGAGAAGAAGCAAATTTGGAATTTGATTACTCCTGCCCAAATCCGCAAATCATGATTTAGGGATTCCTCAACCCCATCTCATTGTCTCTTTCCCCCTTCCATCAATAATTTGCCCCTCAGTTTTTTCCCCTAGTCATCATTTTCAAGCAGGGAAGGTTGAGGTTTTGCTTTGCTGCCCAATCTGGAAGTTTCTCAACCCAATCAATTGGTTTTCCTGTTCAATCCAACAACCTAATCTTGAATCATGTATAAAAGGAAATTTTTTATTCCCACAACCTTTTATATTGACAAAAGCCACAATATTCTGTTAATGGTAAGATGATTTTTTAAGGTAATAAAAAAAAGAAAATATTATTAGAAAAAGGAAAAACAATTACACCTAGGTGATAAGATATCACCCACAAGAATCAGAACTTGAACCCAAACCCTTTATTGAGATTTTAGTGGGACGATTCAATAGCTCAATGTCAAGAAATTGTAGAGTCATTTCACATTATCAGTGATGTAGGATGGAGTAGGGATCCTACTAAATTCAGATATGGTGGTGAGGTTTGTTTTGTGAAGGAGGCATTTGAGGTGGTTAGGAATGAAGAATAGGGTAGAAAAGCAAGTAAACAGCTTGCTGTTCACCAAAGAATGAGCAAGAAATTAGAAGAAAAGATCTTGCTGTTAGGATAAACATCAAAGAGATAGATCACTTAGCAGATGAAATAGAGGGGGGGGGGGAGAGAGAGAGAGAGAGAGGGAGGGAAGGAGGAAAAAGAGAAAAAAAATGTCTGGTAACAACCAAACTTTACTTCATCAAATCAACTTGTCTTTTATTTATTCCATTTATATACTGAACTTATGAACTTGGATCTCTTTACAAACTCCAATTTGGACTAGGAAACTGACCCCAACTATATGGGGTCGGCTACAAGAATCTTGTTTCACCATTTCCTTTTGTTCAGCGCTATATCCATCATCAATCTATCAGTGCTTGAATCATTTCTTACTACTTCCACCAAGTCCTTTATGGTCTGCCCCTAGCTCTTTTAGCCCCTTCAACTTCTAATGGATCACTTCTTGTAACAGGTGCTATAGATGGTCTTTGATGCATGTGACTAAACCACCACTGTCTACTTATATCTCATTTTATCACCTATTGGAGTTATTCCTGGGTTCATTCATATGACTTCATTTTTTATCCTATCCTTTCTAGCTTTACACATTTCTCACACTCATTTTATGGACATGCTATTTCTTAACTGCCGAAAACTCTACCCCATACAACATACCCAGCCTTTGAACTGCATTAAAGAATTTTCCTTTAGCCAAATTAGTATTCACCTATCGCATAAGACTTCAGATGCACCCCTCCATTTTGCCCATCCTACTCTAGTTCTTTGAGTGATATTTTCCTCAATCTCCCATTTGTTATGAATTATTGAACCAAGGTAACAGAAGAGGTCACATTGAGTTATCTCTTGGTCTCCACTCTCCAATCTCAAGTATATCCTGTATTTATCAAAAGAAAATCTTAAGTATATCCTGCTTTGCACTCTTAGTATAAAATTTACATTGCATATATTCTATTTTAGTTGTACTTATTTTAAAACATCTTATTTCTAATTTACTTGTCCATAAACCTAATTTTGCATTTAATCCTTCATTAGTTGCCAACTTCTAATGAATCTAATCTATATTTATGTTATATAGAAGAAAGGGGAGGCCAAGAGTCTAATCACCCCAATACTCATAGAGACCTCTTTATCCTCTCATTTCTCACAAATGAGGTTACTTATTTTTCAATTAAATTTGTTAAAAATATAAAAATTCAAAATAAAAACCCCCTTAGGTCTTAATTTTCTCTATAAAACCTATCATTACTCTCTCAACCCCCCCCCAATAGGCAATGTTTGTAACATCTACCCTCCCTCATTAAATTCCTTATTTCCTCTTAAGTCTCTCAACCCCTTTTGGTTCTCTCTAATAAAGTATAAGGGACAACCCAAGACCAATATGGACCCTAGCCTGGACCCAAACAGATGTCAAAGCCCAAATTTTCCAACCCAACCCTAACCAAATTTCTATTTAACCCCATGCATTGCATGGGCTTACTTGCTAGTTGCTTTACAACCAAAAAAAAAAAATCCATAACCCACAAGGACACTTAAATAAGGACTCCAAATCTTTAAACAAAATATTTTCCTAATCCAACTAAAACTAACTTGATGTAAAGACACCAGAAATTACTAAAAATAGTAAATTGTGGGTTTATTTAAATGAGAGTTATTATAAATAGTATGTCCAAAAAATACCATGAATAGAAGCTTCCCTATTGGGGTCTGGTTCCACAAGGTGGATACTTGTAAACAGAAAATGAGTTTAATAGGTGGACAGACTAGGTTATCTACCTACCATGGGGTGTTAGCACTTAACTGTTATTTCTATGATATATTCTTAAACAAAATTTTATGTTATTATTATCAAAAAAAATCCATTATTGATAATAAAACAACTTCTAAAGTAGCCCTTTAAGCCGGTAGTTATAAAATTTTGTTAAAAAAATAAATCTTAATAGCTGGCATATTTTTGATAACTAAAAAGATCATTAAATTTCATTGAAAACAATAATGATAGACACTGTTAATTGGGCATTACTCAGGAAAAGCATCAACACAAGGTGAGGAATAGGGCAAAACTAGGTGGTTAATTGGGTAACTTGGACAATGGGATTGAACACACAAAAGTCTGTAAATGGATTCTAAAAGTTCAAAACCTGATCCAACATCTGATCTGAATAAGATCCGAGTCCAACTCAATTTTATAATATATATAGTTTTTTTTTTATAAATGAGAATAATTTTATTAATTCAAATAACGAAAATACAATCAGCCTAGGAGGAGGCACGAGATGTTACCTCCCCCGAGGACTGAATCATATACACCAAACATGCCCAAGCCTGAAACACAAATTACAAAGTAGCCCAAAACAGATCTCCCCTTGACACCCCTTGCTTGGCCAGAGAATCAGCCATTGCATTTTCTGATCTGCTGACCCACTGAAACCTGACAGTCATATTTCTTGTCATCCATTTAACTTTCTTTAACAGATCCCTGTAGCCCCAACAAGCTGTATCTGGGCTATTCAGCCAGCCCACTACTACCTTGGAATCCCCTTCTACTAACAAATTGTTCACTCCAATTTGACTAGCCATCTGTGTACCTTGTACCACTGGTCCTGAAAATAGAGTCACATATTGTTGTCTTTGTCTCTCAGAATCCCACCAATTCCACATGGCCCTAGGTTACCTTGGCAGCTGCCATCAAAATTCAATTTTACCACTCCATCCGGTGGGGGTTTCCATTCAACTTGTGATTTGTTCTTGGTGGAGACTGTAGAAGCCATTGCTGCCCAGTTTCTCCTTAAGTCATCAAAGGAGAAATCTGCCAACAAATGTGAAGATTTTAACCAAGAGATTGTCCTTGTCAATATGCATTCCTTGATTTCAGCAAGACTTCTTTCCTTTTCTTGAAATGTTCTAGCATTTCTCTCCTCCCATAAAATCCACAATGTAGCGGCTCTGATACATTTCCACATTAGCTTCCCTCTTTTCGTCAATCTCCCAAAAGAAGCCGGAGTGAACAGCAGCTTAACTTCAAAGGGCAAGTTCCACTTGCACACAAATAAGGAGACAACCTAGTTCCAAATATTGGCAGCAAAGGAGCACGATATCAGCAAATGGTTACAGTCCTCACCCTTCACTTTACACATAAAGCACCAATTTGGGGACAGACACATAAAAGATTTCTTCTTTTGCAAGTTGTCCACAGTATTGATCTTACCATAATAGGCTTCCCAACAGAACACTGCTATTTTGGGGGGTATTGGCCTTGACCAAACCTCTTTAACAAGGAAGACCTGAAAGGAGCCACCCGGGGTTGAGTGAAGGAGCCACTTGCACACAAATAAGGAGACAACCTGGAAGATGCACAAGTGAAGGAGCCACCTGGGGTTAGGGCCCAGACTCTTTTATCCAGGTTAGTGGGGTCCAAACACACCGAATCTAAAAGCAACAATAGCTCTAAAACACAAAGAAATTCTTCATCCCTTAACCCTCTTCGAAACTCAAAATCCCAATTTAAAGCCAAAGGGAAAACCAGGGGAAAGGAACCATGAAATGGGTTTCATTTTAAAGAGGGAGATGGAATAGAGAGAAGGGAAACGGTCTTTTAGGGGTTGAGTGCTCACCCAAGTATCTTCCCAAAAAATAATGGAGTTTTCAGAACAAGCATCGTACCTTACAAAACTGGGGAATTTAGGGAGAATGCTAGAGATAGCCTTCCAAGGTGTTGTGAGCAAAGCCCTTCGGGATACCCCCGCATCCCAACCTGATTCAGAACAGCCATGGACACTTTTCATTGCTTCATGCCACAACCTCTCCCTCTCCAAGGGCCACCTCCAAAGCCACTTACCTAAAAGAGCCTCATTCTTACTCATCACATTCCCTACGCCTAGGCCTCTTTTTTTTGCTCCAACTCACCACCTCCCACCTAATCAAGTGATCTTTTTTCTCTTCTCCAAGTTCCCATAAGAAATCCCTCATCAGTTTTTCCAACCTCTTTGCCTCCCTTTTAGGAATTCTAAAGATTGACACGAAGTATAAAGGCAAGTTGGCTAAAGTTGCTTTAACCAAAGTAACTCTACCTCCCACGGAAATATAGTTTCTCTTCCAAGCTGCCAATCTTTTTTTGAATTTTTCCACCACCGGGTTCCAGAACCTACTTTCCTTTGAATTTGCACCTAATGGAAGTCCTAAGTAGGATAGAGGCCACTAAGAGCAAGTGCATTCTAATAGACTCCATCTCCTCTCTGTTCAAATGAACTCCCCCACAACACAGTTCTTCTCAAAATTTACCTTCAAATTTGAGGTCCTCTCAAAGTGAATTATTAAATCCTTCAAATTCCTTACTTCCATCAAATCACAACCTTCGCAAAAGATTATTATGTCATCTACAAATTGGAGAGTCTATCTGCTTCTGAGAGGAGTCTACTAAAAGCATCGGCAACTAAAGTGAAAAGGAAAGGTGACATGGGATCACCTTGTCTTAGACCCCTACTAGCTGGGAAAAAATCAGTAACTACCCCGTTGATTAGGATGGAATAATGGCAATTGGAAAGGCAACTGTTTATCCATTTGCACCATTTATAATTAATAAATCTAATATTTTCTATTTATATAAATTTATCATACAAGTTAAAAAGTAATTAGTTTTTAAAACTTTTTTTTTAATTTTAAGCACAATAAAGTGGATAATGAAACAAGCTTGGTACTATAAGGATACTCTCTAGTTGACCTGGAAACTCTTTTCCTAGTAGTAGTAGCAACTTCAGCAGCAGCAACAGAAGGAAGAGGAGGAGGAGAAAATCCTTAAAACCACTTGAGAGCATGAGAGCAATAAAATATTGATGATATTTGACATTTTATGGATATCAAAAGCCAAATTTAACATTTGCTTTAGTAAAATGCCAACATAGAACAATTAATTACTAATTTATTTTGATCGTTAATTAGTTGTTTATCATATAGGAAAGAAACCGGTTGCACAAACCTAAAATTTTTAATTACAAGACATGATCACACTTAGAACAAAGGACATGCCAAAAAGCTTAAAACATAAGATATTGATGGAATACCTCCATGGGAAGTCCTCAATATGAAAATATTTCGCACTTTTGTCCTCAAAAAATTTGCCAAAGAGCAAACCTTGAAACAAAATCCAAACCACAGAATTGATGAGTGTTTTAAGATATCAAATTTATAAAAAAATAATAATAATAATTGTTAATTCATGATATTCAACCAAATCTACTAAATATAACAAAGAAGTCTGGATTAATGTGGTCTAGGGCATTCATTACATTTGTCAGTTTAGATAGTTCAATATAGAATCTCCACCCTTCTAATTCCACCTACTCTTGAAGATTTAAGGGGGAAATAACATCTACTTTTCAACAGCCTTTGCCACACCATTTTGGAGGTTCTCTTGCAAAAGTTGATATCTCTTACATTTGTGTCCTAATACCTAGTTCTAGATCTCTCTTTCATCGCCAAATCTTCTGTTTTGCTTTGGCATGATTTATACCCTAACATAGACTCAAATTCAACATGGTTTTACCAAAATATGATAACCTGCTACTCAACATTGAGCACTATGGGATTTTATGATCAGCGCAGAATACCTATCAGACCTTCAAGATGTTTACCTTTTCAAAATACTTGCAGTCATCTTTCCCTACATGAGTAAGTCACAACCAAGTTGCCATTTTTAGTATTAGAAAGTGTAAAGAGACTGGGTCGAATGGGCCCTAGTATCTTCTCTTGTAATATCTTTTTTTTTATTGTTGGCTAATGGGCCTGTTATTTCTTTTTTGTTTAATCTCTTTATGTTACTGCCTAGCTGGCCGCCGACTTAAGGGCATACTTGTCATTACTCTAACTTTAATTCTTAATAAAAAAGGGTTAGAGGAGAAAGGAGAGATGATTCGATTTCTTCTTCTTCTTCCTTCTCTTTTCGCCATTTTCTTCTCTTGTTTTGCTGCTCTTACTTCTCTTCTTCCTTTCCTTCTAATCTTCAAATTTACACCTAATATTTGAGGACTGATTTGCATCTGAAAGCTTATTTAATAATATGCCCAAAAGCATGTAATTTGGAGAATTTACACATGATTTGAGCAGGTTATGCACTTCCAAGTTCAAACCAATGTTTTAAGGCTCAGACCAGACCCGATGGTGGGACTGTCAACCTGGGAACCAGAAGGCATTCCGGTTTTAAAACTCCCAGTTTTCATTTTTCTGGAAAATCAGTCAGAACCCAAGAAAAATGCTGACAACCGACCAGGTTTGAACGACCCAACCAGTTTTCCATGACCCACATGGTTCACTAAATGGTTAGAAACATTAAAATGAGAGTAAGCGGATTTGAACTTGAGACCTCTTACATGCATCTATTAGTTTTCACGGGTCAATGTCACATGGAAAGAGAAGCACAGCTTCCCTTTGCTCATAGGAATTGAGAAAGGAAGTATAAATAAAAAATTAAAAAAAGAAATCTTGTGAAGACACCTAGGCAAGGCTGATTATAGCCTAGGAAGCAATGCCTTAAAAACATGATCATAACATTCCCACAGAATTGTTCCTTTAGATGCTGCCAACCTATATAGATGGGAAATCTACCCTTCTACTCCCGCACCAAGAGGCCTCCCCAACAAGTATCCTATCACCCCCCCCCCAAAATAATGGTAACTATGGCTGATTCCATGCTTGATAAATCAGGCATAGCCCTAATGAATAAGCCAAAAGTGTGTCTTTGAAAAACTAGAAGCAGCCTGTGTCTTGGATGACCTAGTTCATTTTATTGAGATTGGAAAACCAACCAGATAACCTAAATCATCAACTTTGCTTTGAACACTAGTATGGCTCTGTAATCTTTGATGATCTTGGCAGACCACTTGAATGGTGTGGACCGTTGTATTGATCAGACACATTTAAACAGAACAGGTAAATTGATGATTTACCAATAACAATGGTTAAATAGAATAAGAGCTAATAGCTAATTTTAACACATAGTGTTGCGGTATAAGGGTCAAAGAAAAGGGATATTTGATAGGTTAGAAATGGTAACATCATCCACTTGAAATTGTTTAAAACTATTTGATGGAAAAACCTTGTTTTCCAAAGAATTTATTTAACTCACATGGGTTATCCCTGTCTAGGGAACTAATCTTGAATTTATAAGGGTCTTCAAATGCAAGTTGTTCAACTGTAAAATATAGAGGTACAACTTAAGAGGTTTAGGAGGCTAACCTAAAGCTCAGTCTATAAGACTAAAATGCAATGCTCCAAGCCCAGAGGCCATGAATCAATGCAATGCTCCAAGCCCATCAAGAGTTTGGTTTACTTGATCCTAAGCCAATCCTGCACAAGATCAGGTTGGACCAGGCCCCAGGGCAGGTTCACTTATGCTTGGATTACAAAAGGGCATAAACCAAAAGAAAGTGTAGTCATCTTTATAAGACAAACTAGGATCCATGCCCCCCCCCCCCCACACTCAAGCAATATTCGCACAGTTCAAGCAATTACCATCATAAGGCTCCTTTGTAAAATCTTGGTCTCCAGCCTCAATCCAAGCAGAACTCAAGGTTCAAGATTGTCCCAGTGACAATCTTTCCAAAAGAGTGAAGATTCCATAAGGGCCCACTTCTCTCTTATTGACATTGTTGATTGAGGTGTATGAATTCTTAACTGGGTCCCATGAAAACCACTGCATGGAGTAATTCCTTGAAGTGACGTTTATTCCGCATTCATCATTGCATGTGCTTCCTCTATTCAGTATAGAAAATTAACATAACTACGAATTTATCATTGTTTATCATACCGCCAAGAGACCTTCGAACTACAAAACCTCGTATGTGTTTTATACTGCAGTTACATATTCCAGTAATGTTTAACCCTATTTTACCATCCCAACAACTTGGCCCCAAAGAAACTTGTCCATATCAAATGCTGCAATCTACATTCCCATCCCATCAGGTTTTTAGCTGAGATCCTGAATGTAGATAGCATTTCTCATCGGCTCATTGTTATCTTCATCGCCATTACCAGATTATCAATACCTCTCCTAAAAATGCAATTTATACCAGATTACACGACAAACATAGTTCATAGTTCCTAATTTCGAAATCCCAGTTATCAATTTAAAGGGAAAAAAAAACACATCTCCCACGGTAAACCAACTTCATATTAATTAAAACTCCTTTTAAGTTATAGTTTCACGAAAACAAATTCAAAATAGATAAGAGAAGGCAGAAGACGAGAGACAAAATTGTTTTGAAAGTTATCCAAATCGTTATCCTTGAATTTGCACCAACTACGAAAGGAAGAGACACAGCATGGACAAAAGCATACCCGAAAGACAACGGAGAAACACAGAATGGATGTTTGATTGTAGCTGTATAAATTCGAGCAAACTTCCCCAGAATAAGCCCTAGTTCAGTTTTCCCGCAAAAGCCCTCAATTGACTTGCTAAGCAGTTAACACCCTCGCTGCCATCCTGCTACCCAATCTTAATCTTTTCATTTCCTTCTCTACGTTCAACCCTTTTTACAGTAGGTTAACACTCGAAGTCTTTAACAGTTATTATTGCCTTAAAAAAAATAAATAAAAGTTGTAAGGACACTCGCATCTAAATAAATGGGGAAAATTCTCGTACCCTGTTCGTCCCCGAATTTTAAAACGCAACAATTAGTACCCCGAACTATCAAAATATATTATTAATCCAGTACCTTAATCAGCTGTTAAATAGCATTTGAAAAAACATAAATGTCCTTGAATATCATTTAATTCGTTGGGGTCCATAATATACCTACGAAGATGTAATCCCAACTTTTTTGAATAGAAGAAACAAGGATTTGGGATGGTTAATTTTTTGCCGATACTTGGATGGTTGACAGAAAATTAAATGACACTCGATGGGCATTTATGTCTTTTTCAAATGCCACGTAACAATTGGTTAACAATAGTTACTGGATTGATACACTTTGAAGGTTCGGGTATTAAATTGTCGCATTTTAAATTTCAAAGGACCAAAGTGGCACTAGACCCAAAATACAGGGTAATAACCGAGAATTTTCCCAAATAAATAGTAAGTAAAATATAAAAACCTCTCTTTTATTTTCATTTTAACAAATGCTTCCCTGAACTTTTAAAAGCTTGACAAATTCCTTCCTTCTGTCATTGATCTATATCAAAAACGTTAGATTGATGCATTTTTTTCCAAATATCCATTATATCCTTTTATAAATTATTTTACAAAAATAACCTTGATTGAAACTCAACAAAAACTTCCTTCGATTCTCTTTATTCACTTTCAATCTCCCATCCCTAAACTAAGGAGGATCCTACTTGAAACTCCATCGTTTGAAGATGAGAGGAACCTTGAAACTCAATCGTCCAATTTCTCATGGTGGAATCCACGATGACCATACAAATTGCAGAATGCTTGCCACAAAAGACATGCCTAAACCTAGCCTTTCATTAGTTTCATGAGCTCTGATGGCTCCATCCTAGATTTAACCAGTAGTTTCGTTGTCACTACAATAGGAAACGGTGTTTTGGTCTTCGAAGGACCAAAACTACCAATTAGAGGTTAGGTTTCGAGAGCATCATGTGAACCAGGCAAAGTTTTGTTTAGGAGGACAGTTCAAGTTATATAAACCATTTACCCCACCTATTACCATAAATTGTCAAAGCTTCTTCTAGTTTAGCATCGACAGTAGGGCATTGAAAACTTAAAAGTAGAACATGAAAGGAAGAAATAGACAAATATGTCAATACTAGGGTGTAGAAAAGCCTCTGAAAACGAGGTAAAAAAATATAACGAGGATACACATAAATAAACAAAATATGAAGGCACCGAAGATGAGAAGAAGGATACAGATAAGGTTTTGAAGAACAAGGTAGAGTTGAAAAAGAAGAAAATGGTCTTGCATCAATAATTGTTGCTGGTTGTAAGTTTTCAGCCAAACAGAGGAGAGAGAGAAAGAAGAGAGAAGAAGAAGAAAGGAAGAGAAAGTGTTGAATTGATAGATAGTTCGCCTGACCCAGTCGACCATATCCTTGAAAAGTAAATTGCAAAAGATTGAAATGCCCCTACATATGAGGAGACATACAGCCAACACCATACATAAAGGGAAAGGACCAAAATATCTCTCTCTAATTGACTCTAACACTCCTCCTCAAGTTGGAGAATATATATCATATAATCCTAGCTTGTTACATATGTAGTTCACTCTCCCTGAACTCAATCCTTTCGTGAAAAGATCTGCCCATTGATGACTTGTCCTCACATACTCGGTCCTTATCACACCATTAATGACCTTTTCCCTTACAAAGTGATAATCTACCTCTATGTGTAGTTCTCTCATGGAAAACTGGGTTGGATGAGATGTGAATTGTAGCCTGATTGTCACAGTATAGCTTCATGGGTTTGCTTACTAAGAACCCAATTTCTTGCAATAGATTCTTTAACCACACTGGTTCACATGCAATGTGTGCCATGGCTCTGTAATCTGCTTTGCACTGCTCCTTGCTACCACTGTCTGCTTCTTGCTCTTCGAAGTCACAAGATTTCCTCCGAGAAAGGTGCAATAACTTGTAGTGGATTTTCTGTCTGATACAAATCCAGCCCAGTTTGCGCCGGTGTGTCCAACTATTTCAAGATTACCCCCTACCTTGTATAGTAACCCACGACCTGGAGCCCCTTTCAAATACCTCACATTCCTAAGAACAGCATCCCAGTGAGGTACCCGAGGATTCTACATAAACTGACTTACCATACTGACAACAAATGAGATATCAGGACTAGTGATATTTAGATAATTCAATTTTCCCACTAGCCTTCTATACGTTCCAGGATTATCAAACAATTCACCTATGTCACTTCCCAACTTCACATTCAGCTCCACAGGTGTTTCAATTGGTTTAACACCTAACCCTATTTCTTCCAATAGATCAATTACATATTTCCGCTGACAAAGGTTTATACCTTGCTTTTATCTAACAACTTCTATACCCAAGAAATTCTTTAACTTCCCAATATATTTTGTCTGAAAGTGATCTTGTAGGAAGGTTTTCAATCTATCAATCCCAAATTTATCACTGTCAGTTATAACAATGCCATTCACATAAATTACCAGCAAGATCTTCTCGGCCACAGAGTCATAGCTAAATACTGAATGATCAACTTGACATTGTCTCATTCCAAACTCCTTCACCACCTCACTAAATTTTATAAACCAAGCATGGGGAAATTGTTTGAGCTCATAAATTGCCTTCTTGAGCACACCTTACCATCCTCCCCCTGAGCAACAAGCCCTGGTGGTTGCTCCAGGTACACCTCATCTAAAAGATCCCCATGGAGAAAGGCATTTTTAATATCAAGCTGAAATAGAGGCCAATCATGCATGACAACTAAGAAACATAACACACGGATGGAGTCAATCTTTGCAACTAGAGAAAAGATTTCAACATATTCCACACCATAAAGTTGAAAATACCCTTTTGCAACTAAACTGGCTTTCAGGCATTCCACTATTCCATCTGATAAATACTTAACAAAATACACCCATTTACAGCCAACAACATGCTTACCTGGGGGAAGAGTGGTGAGTTCCCATGTCTGATTGTGATGAAGAGCAAAGAATTCCTCTTCCATAACTTTTTGCCACCTTGGCGATGTAAGAGCTTCCTGAACATCCTTAGGAATGGATACAAATGACAATAAGGTAATAAACTGGCGATGGGAAGCAGAAAGGTGAGATATAGAAACATAATTGGTTATGGGGTGACATGTGCAACTACATTTACCTTTCCGCAATGCAATAGGAAGGTCAAAATCAAAAGACAATTCAATTGTGAAAGAGGCTAGATCTGTTGCCGAAGTAGAAGGTGGTGGAGGTGCTGGTCTCTGTCAATGAGTATACACTTGACGAATTGTGATCAGAGACTCCAAAGTCAATTATCCAGGGTGAAGGTTTGGATGCTACGCAAGCTATACCTGAATGAGCAAGGGTGGCAGTGTTTTAGTGTGAGGTGGCCTGAAGAAATCTCTCATACTCCTCTCTAGGAATACTCATCATCTCCCTTCTAGAAGTAGTTGTGGTTGTAGAAGATGTTGGATCAACTGGTTGAGTGTCACTGACTTCACTACCACCAATAGCTGCATGATTAGCCTATGTGGATGGTGGGCCATGTAAATCATAACAAAAGTTAACTGTGTGTCCTTCTCTTCCGTAGTGTGTGCACTTCCTTGTTCTGCTTCCCCTTCCTCTACCACGACCTCCTCCACTGGTATGACCACCCATAGGACTACCATGGCCCCCTTTAATCGTACGCCTACCTCCTCTGTGCCCATAAGAACCACCTTGAGTACTAACTAGTGCTGATATTTTAGAAGTTATGTTACTCTTTGAGGGGCTAAGAGAAATCATATGGAGATGGGAAAATAGTTCTTCTAGAGTCGGGAGAGTAGATCCTCTCAATATCTATGCTTTGACAGGTTCATACTCTGCTTTCAGTCCCACCAAGAATCATATAACATCAAGTTGTTCCCTTTGTTGTTGCTGAATTTTGACGTCTGAGGTTAAGGGATGATAGACGTTAAGTTCATTTTGAACATTCTTGATAAAGCTGATAAACCCTTGCAGTATTCTTGATAAAGCTGATAAACCCTTGTAGTGTTGTCTTGTCCTTAATAAAGTTTTTTGGCATGTTCCCATATATCCCTCGTTGTATCTAAAAACATGAAGTTAACACTGATTTTAGGCTTCATATTGTTCCACAACCATGTCATGATCTGAGCATCCTTTTGCTCCCAATCACTAAAACCTGGGGATTCAACACTTGGTTTCTCCTCCCATACATGTTTCACTTTCTTCTTGGCCTTCAGAAACATTTTTACCGACTTGGCCCACGGAACATAATTTTCACCGTTGAGTTTGATGGATGTCACTTGGACACAAAAAATTAGAGGATATCATCACACTCGATTTATGGTCACCACTTGAATCACCTGTTGACACCATTTCACTCTACAAAGCTGGTTCTGCTCGTTACACACGAAAAAAAGAGAAGTTTCAGCTACTGCATTACCGTCGTTCAACTTCCACACCAACACATTTAAAGTCACCACTAGTTTGCCCTAGCATGCATTTGGCCACTTTGAACACCACTGATCTGCGAACAAGCTGATTTAAAAACACCTAGAATCCCTCTTGAAACTACTCATTAGAGGGTTCAGACCACAACCACTACACCTACTCGACCACCACAACTGTCACACATAGTGACAACAGTCCACACACAGGAAAAACTTGGGTTTCTTGTTCACTTGAATTGTTGTAGTTGTCTACTATCACCAGAACCAGAAACCTGGGTTTCTTCATAGTCCTCTAACCCAGATTTCTCACACCATAAAAGAAAGTTGCCGTAGAACCCCTACTGTCGTGCAACCTTAGGTATTGTCGTAGAAACCCTACTATCACGAAGATTATCGTAGAGACCTAGGTTTCTTCTCTAACCCAACAACCACACTAGGAAAAAAATGGGAAATAAAGAAGAAGGAGAAGAGAGAAAGTTGTAGTCGA